TCCCCATGTATCCCCCAAAACAACATGGTTCCCATTAATCCCCGTACCTAGTCACCTATGCGAGCTGCCGTTTGTCAGGTGAGACGCACCATAGATGCGTAAAAGTGTTAAGTGCCTCTAGTGAGGCGTAAGCAGGCAACGAAGCTGAGACCATTGCTTTTGAAACCTTTTTCATGAAGTGACTTCCTGAAACCATTGGCCGCTTTGCAGTCTCTAGCACAAGGCATTCGTGAGTTTTTGGGCGTGTGTTGGGAATCCAACTTAAACCTTCTGTACGTTGCTAGCAGTTTGGGTAAAACTCATATGTTCAGAGTATTTTAGCGCTCACATGCAGTATAAGTCAAGATTCTATGCTGTTCAAATCTTTTTCTTGCAGGTGCAGGCAGGGTCCTTCATGGTTTTGGATGGGCCGGCACAAAATCTGCAATGATCGTGTGCCAGAAGCCGGGTTCATTCTTGAGGTTAGTCACTGGCTTTTTAGCAATCAGCTATAGCTTCAAATGGGATTTTTGGCGATATCGAGGATCTGCAGCAAACAAGATACTTTCTCGCAGCGCATGCGCCTTCCCACTACTTAGGCGAGCCAGGCTAAACGTGAGACTCATTCTTTTACCGTCGTACCCTGGCAACTTATACTTCATGGTTTCCAGACTTGGCGGCCTAGGGGGTGTACCTTGTACATGGGAACTTTGTCCAGAATAGGCCTTGCGTCGTTTTGGAAATTCCTCTATTCTTCTTGGCCTTCTGCCCCACGCGTCCGAGCCAGACAGGGACATTCCTGACACCTTCAAGAATCCATGGTCCTTCACATGAGGCTGTTCACATCCAACGCGTCAAGCCCTTCTTCTACGGATGGAATTAGGGGTACCATTTTTGGGTCCGCAGAATAAGCATTATAGCAGTTTGCGGTCTATATTGGGGTTCCCAAATTTTTGGGAAACTACCAGATATTCCGGAACACGAACCCTAAACCCTAAACCACAATTTTAGCAACTCAAGGCCTTTGGCGCCAAGACCCAAGTCACCCAAGATCACACCCGTAAAGTGTTAAAGCTGCTGTGAATTCCGATAGATCCCAATATGAGGCTTTAGGGTTTAGGCTTTAGGATTTAGGCTTTAGGGTTTAGGGTTTAAGCTTTAGGGTTTAGGGTTTAGGGTTTAGGGTATTGTGGTAGCAATGTTGGACGCCATGGCGGTTTTCCTCCTTGGCATGCTGCTGGGTGCAGCCCTGGGCTTTCTGGCCACCCCGCTTGAGAAGTGAACCTTTTTAGCCATCAGGGAGTTTGCAACTTAGGGCAGCGTGGACGTACAGGTTGTTCCTGGGGACTATGAATAGGGGGATCATCGACATTTACTCCCCGACGCCCTGCTTCGGAGTCTCAGTAAGGAAGCAGGTTGTAGCGGCTTGGTTTTTTTTTGGGGGGGGTTTGGGCAATTTTGAGAAGATATATAGGGCTCCAGGGGTCTGAAATCAGAGAAGAGTGGGGGATTAGATAGACAAGAAGATGGCAGAACTGTTCAGCTGGGGATCGAACGCAGGGGTCTAGAACACAAGACAGGGATAAGTCATCCGAAGATAAGTTTTTTTTTTGGGAAGAGGCTATAAACATAGTGTGTGCTCGAATATTTGACCTCTACATTACTTACTCGCGTTTCACGTTCCATCATCTACTGCTGAACAGTAGCAAAACCCGAAGCCCCAAACCCTAAAATTATGGTCACCCTTAAGTAGATAGAACCAGGGGCATATGGGGATCTTATAATAATTTTCCCAAAGCTATATTCTATCTACTTAAGGGAGACTATAAACTACTCAACTATGCGACCCATAGGCCACACCGTTTGAAGCCAAACAACCCGAGATGTGTAGCCTGTACGCCAGGTAGTCATCCCACCCGCGACTAGTCACCACAAGGGAGGTATTGAGGGGTCCCTATGTCAATATATACACATATATTGCTACATGGATGGGGCCCAAGCCCTTGTTGGGGTCCGAAGCTTTCAATTTATCATTTACGAGGATAGCATGACCCTATTCCCGACCCGCATTCGGGCTCGCATTGTCCCAGCTGGGCTAAACAGTTTAGGGTGTGTTGGGTTTGGGGTTTAGGATTTGAAGTCGATCTTATCATGCATTTCGAAACTTCCGTATAGCATTGTTCATGCAACCCTAAGAAGAATTACGTTTCCTTTCTATTGAACATCGCACCTCCCCGCCTGAACATATCCCGAGAATTTTCGAGCGGCCTTCTACATTCCTTAGTGAGCCTTCAAAATTGGGGGAGGTGCCCTTCTCCTTACAGTAGTCACTAGCCGCTAGCCTCCCTAACCCCCTGACTAAAGTCATGCCCAATGTGGTGCTGTTCTATATGGGAGATTATTTGTACATATGATCAGGGGCGAAGGAGTTGTAATTAAAAGGATCGGATAATTAGGGCGGGTATAAGGTGGGTCGTCCTTGCCTCAGGTTGCCTGGCGACTTCAGCCCTCCGCGAGGGGCGCGCGGCCGACGGCCCGTGCGCAAAAGCCCGCAAAAGGCGAAGTGAAGATGGTGCGGCTGGGCGTGTCATACTTATGCTTAGCTGGGAATGGGGTGGAGGAATTGTTGTAGTCATAGCAGGGATGACGTAGCGGCTACAAAAAAAAATCCCGAATTTCCAAGCTTAGGCAGGTTTTTCTAGGCCCTGAACACCAATTAAACCCTAATAAAACCTAAAAAACTCCTTCATAATCTCAGTTTCCATGTCATTCTCAGTTTGCTTTTCCATTTGATTTTCCATTCCTGGCGCAATATCCCTGTATAACTGCTGCTACACGGCCCGGGTCACGCGGAATCCATTATCAGGAGCTCTAGAGACCGTAGTTCGTTGGATCTTCAACCATAGTTATATGAGGTATAGGCTAAACTCCTTAAAGGGGGTTATATAGGGGATTACATGCGGGGAGTATTGCAGGGTGTACCAAGGAGGATACTAGGAGTTTAGACGATAGCTCATATAGGGTTTATAGAAATTCAGGATGGAAAACGTAATGGACGCTGGTTTAGACAGAAGTTTAGGAGCGTTAACATTCCCATGCTTTGGAAGGCTTTGACTTGAGTGTTTTTTGTGCGCCACTTCTGGCATTACATGACGATCACGACCATTTAATTTTATTCCTTCCAGCCTACAAGCCTAGAGGGGGTAAATATGGAATACGGGAATATATTCTATAGGGAATTTATTCCCTTATTCCCTGCTAACCGCCAGTAAGTTGAGGCCCCTGCATGTAGTGTTTGTCTCTGCCGCGTCTTCTTGTCAGGGCTGCAAATCTTATTCGCTGTCGTGATACGCTGGGCTGCGACAGCGTTAAGGGTCACTTCTTTTTGTTTGTTTTGTTTTGTTCGTTTTTCTTTTTGTTTCACCCGTTCGGTTATGGTTATTGCTATGTTTAACGGCGGGTATCGCAAGAAGGGTAAATCGCAGCAGAAGCAGGAGTACGCATGAGACTGTAGCGATGCTGATCCTGAGCCTGTCTCCTATAAGGAGAAAGCAGTAGTCTACACTGCAAAGGAAATCAAACATAAGATGGTCTGCTCAAAATCAGTGTGCTTTTAGCGATGACCCCAATTCGGAATGATGCAAAAGTATGAGCTTCATTTTATTTCTACACAGCCCCACATGGAAGTAATCCTGGTCGTTCTTTTAGGGTCATAACCTTGAAAGACCCGCGCAGTTGAGATGTCCCGCATGGGTAAATTTAATTTGCCTTTCCAAGATTGCTGGTTCCAAAAGGGTCCATGTAAGTATATAGGGGTTCTACCTAGGGCGCTAAGGGGTCCCCACATAGCTGCTCTGGGTCCCTGGTACATACAAAATAGCCGCATGGACCATCTGGGGTTAGATTTATACTCGTGGATATGTCCTCCTTGGTCCTCGTAGGTGCTACACAGGCACTTCAGCTTTTCAAGTTATCCTCACCTTCTGGGCTCCGCCACCTAGAGTAAACCCTAAACCTTAAAACCTAAACAAAAGCTGCATGGCTTCCGCACATTCTGGCGGATGTCCAGACGGGAGCGTACGGATACTGTAGAAGGCCAGAATGACTAGTCTCTGGGCAATTAAGATAAAGCCACCTCACCCGACCTCGCCCCAAATGCTGGTTTATATAGGGAATGGTACCAAAATGACCTTAAATTGGGATTTGAAGTTATTCCAAATTACCCTGTAGTATATCATACCCATTTTTTCCTGCGCGCATAAACCTCGTAGAGCTGTCGTAGAATGTTGCCCAATGCCCCACTCTGATCATTTAGGCCCCTGCATGCTGCAAAGAACTCTGAGGCTTCTCGTCCGCACTGACTTGGGCATGCAAAAAGGCCCGGGCAAACCCTAAACCCTAAACTGTTGACTTGAGACTTCAGGGCTCTGAGCTCTAGGGCTTCGGTGTTGCGACTTTGGAGGGTCTCTGAGGATCATGAATAGATATAGTCCCCCGAAAGTAGATAGAACATGGGGTATGTGGGGCTCTTACTTTAATATGCCCAAAACCATATTCTATCTACTTAAGGGGGACTATTGCTATACGTAAGGTGCAGGATAAGAACTCTACAGGGTAAGGGTCTGAAGTGTACGAGTAGTCAAAGTGGAAGGTGGATAGGATTTTTGGGTGCCAGGTTCGGGCTTTTTCTAAAGTTAGAACCCTGGGCCCCTAATATGGGCCCGTAGCCCTTTTCGGGGCATTCTAGGGACCCTTTATGGTACATGTAGGGTTTTTAGTAGGTACATAAGGAGCCCAGGGTTAAGGGCCCATACTAGGGACCCATGATTTTAGTTTTGGGGCTTTTGGGTTGTGGGCTCAGGATCTGCTAGCCTCTTCTCGAGTTTTCTTTTCGCGTACTGCCTGCGCTTTTGCAGCGAACAGATGTGTGCAAATCTGTGCCCATTCTGTAGGCAGCAGCTGATTTTATCCGAGGCACTTTAGGGGATCCTGAATCCTGATCTCACCTTCAACCCTACATTATGTTGATATCCCTGCAAGGAAAGATTGCGGCCCAGTGCGGGCACGCTGTTCTGGGAGCATATAAAGCCGCTGCGCGGCAGGAGAGTGCTTACCTGGAACCTTGGGAAACTCGGCTGGTTGCCGGGGATTCCATAAGTCCATTGACTCCAATACTACCCCTCCTATACTTCGCCCTAGCACTATCCCTTGACCCATGATACATAGAGGGCCAACATACGACTACATTAAATATGCGGGGACTCCCGGAAAGAGAACCCTGAATTGTTGTGAAACTCCCAGACACGCACTTCTTCGTGAGTTTGTGTTCTTGGTGCCAACACGTAGAGGGCTCTGCCTCTGAGTATACGTTGTGGTGTTTTATGTATTTAGGGTTCAGGCTGCCACCCCCACATACTACCCCATTTGAGTTCCCCTTAGTTACTGGGCCATTTCAAGCCACCTCACCCGACCTCACCCTAAATGGTGCTTTAAATAGGCAACAGTACCAAAATGACCCCAAATTGGGAATTGAAGTTATTCTAAGTTACCCTGTTGGTGTTAAGGTTACTTAAAGTTAATGAAGGGTGACTAGGGAGAAGCCCAAGGAGACCCAGCTCCATCAAGCTAATAAGAGGCCCTACCCCTATTTCTGGAACCCTACATGGTCCCTAATGTAGGCCCATGATTAATAACTCCCCCTCCTTGCAAGGGCCTGAGTATCAAGACCCCTGTTACTCTCCCTGTTAAGGGGAAGGGTTCATTAATCAGGGGTCTGGGTTACATGCAAATGCCGAAAGCCTACCACGAAGCCCAAAATGCAAGGAACGTTCTGGGGCAATGAAGATCGCCCTCAAAGTCTCCAGTGAGGAGGAATTGTGTGATTTCCACACAAGGGCTGACAAGAGGGATGTGTCTTGCTACACGGTTCCTTGGCTGAGGCTGTGGGTTTTACCGGCAGTGTTCCGTACTTGGCGGCTTATTGTAGAAGGGCATGGCCATGTGTATTTGTTTTGCCAACTAGGATGCAGTTGTGGTTGAAGGTTCATTCCTTGTCATGCACCAAGGTGAGAGACGCCGGCCACACCCAGGTGCGTGGGTCCAAAAGTGAGGTCGTACGCTTGTTAAAATTCCACAGTACTAGGTGCAGTGCAGTAAAGGGTCCATGGAAAGACCCAAAGCCCCAAACCCTACTACATAACCACATGTTTACCAGTTCCAGCTTCTTTTCCATTATCCTATATCCTCCCCACCCCCCCAATATCCCAGGTAGCACCACATACTCGGACCGTGTGTGCCATTGGCCCGGCGTCCGCAGAGACTCTTGATACCCTCGGCTGCAGTAGCTTGAAACTCCTATGAGCCCCAAAGGATCCAGGTACCTAGGGGTTTAGGGTTTACCTATATAATTAGTAGCTATATAGTTTATACTTGGGGCCCTGAGGCGTTCCTGCATAGGTACTTCAGGATATCGTACCTATGCAGTGTATACTTGGGGCCCTAAAAGGACCCTTCAGAGGTAATTCAGGATATAGTACCTGTATCTTATATACTTGGGGCCCCGAAAAGTTCCGAAATAGGTACTTCAGGGCGCTATATACATATAGGTACATGGATCCTTTGGGAGAATACTGAAATGGTGCCACAATTTGCATGGCTATGCACGCCTTGACATGTACAGATGTAAAGCGTTCCGGGTAAAAGGTTCGGACTGCATCGCTTGTGCGGAACTGCTCTTGCCGAAAGGGTAGATGATGAATTGTGCCGTACATCGGCGGCCCCAGGTATGAAGAAACTTCCCTAAACCCTAAACCTTGACCAAACCCTCAGGAGCCTAAAGCTCTATGACCAGCAGTCACCGCTTGGGAGCTGTGAACATGAAGCATGAACCCCATCTTTGCAGCGTACGCCAAAACCCAAACCCAAAGGATCCTAAGTACCTATATAGGGAATACTGACCTAAACCATACGGTTCAATCCTAATATAGAAACCTACACGGTACCATATTGATACTTAGGACCCCTTGAAACTGGACAAACAAGGACATCCTCACCTGACCGCCGCGGGAATGGTCCTTTATCTAGAAGTGGTCCGGAATGGGCTCAATTTCAGGCTTTACAGGTAACCCAGATGGTCCAAGTACCCAATACCTGGCTACTTGGGTTTTGGGTCATAGGAATTTTAGTACAGGTTTTGGGTAAGTTGTATGATTATTGGGTACTTGGACCAAGCCAGAATGGCCAGCCACAACCCGGCTGCAACTCTGTAAGGCAGCCGTGGTAGAAGCATCAGCAGTACTACGACTACCGCCTAAACCCTAAACGCTATAAGCCCTCAGCTCTATACACCAGCTGGCAGGAGGCCAAGCGCCTAAACCCGCAGCCCTAAACCCTAAACCCTCAAAACTAAGCCCCAAACCCTAAACCCTAGGCCCTAAGCCCAAAACCCTAGACCCTCAACCCTCACACAACTGTAGTTCCCGTTAAGTAGATAGAGAATGGGGTAAATGGGGATCTTCTTATAGTATCACCCAAGCCATGTTCTATTTGCTTGCGGGGGACTGCAGTTTAGTAGTAGGGGACTATACTTTGGGGCAGTAGTATATGCGAAATCGTGGTGGACCTTTTGGGATAGTATAAGTAGCGGAATATGAAGGACCCTGCAGAAGACCAACTACGGGACAAGGTTTAGTCCAAGCTATGCCCGATTAGTCCACGGGTGTGAGTAATTCTGCTTTGTTTGATTTTATCATCGCCCCAATAGCCCATGCTATGCCCCATTAGTCCAAGGGTGTGAGGAGTTCTGCTGAATTCTATCATCGCCCCATTCGTCCAAGCTTCGCCCCATTAGTCCAACGATCGTTCCCATTAGTCCAAGGGTGTAAGGAGTTCTGCTGAATGTTATCATCGCCCCACTAGTCCAAGGATGTGAGGAGTTCTGGTTTAAGTTTATCATCGCACCATTAGTCCAAGCTTCGCCCCATTAGTCCAAGGATCGTTCCCATGTAAATTTCCCCTCCTTCCAGAAAAACGTTTTGCGCGATCCCCTGCGCCTGCCAGTATGGGTGACCAGAATTCAGCAGAATCCACCCCTAAACATGGTCGCATCCGCAGCATGAGTTACAAGAACTGTAGCAAAAGTAATCCAAAAAGTGCTTGCTCCTCAAGAGTCTTCGATATTTTCAGGAAAGGGGACTCCCGTTTTGGATTCTGAAAAACACCTAAAGCCTATATCCTAACACATATTCTTGGGATCTTCAAAGGCATCCTGTTGTATTCTTGGGACTCCCAAGGAGGATGTTTTTCTGGACCCGGAATACTATCACCCATGTTCCCGAGACTCCGACAACAGGATCCACATACGTTTTGCTCATGTAGCGGGCCTCCCCTGAACCCTACACCCTCAACCTGTTGCAGGCCTCTGACGCAGGGCGCGTGTGCGCAAAGAGGAGATTTCCAGAGTCCTCGCCTGAGTCTCTTTCCCCCTTAAACCATGAACCCTGCTTGAAGGATATCAGGAATTGAGTTATGTAAGGAATATACGGACGCTCTCCCCCTGCAGGGTCTAGAAGGGTCATGTCATATCTATAGATGATGCCTGAAATGCTGGAGTCCATGGACATTTGTGTAAGTTATTTCCCTCGGCGGTATGAGCTTGAGTGATTTTCTTTTTGCGCTCAAATGGCTTAGTTGCAGACGTTACAACTACACGGCTTGAAGTGCTACACGGACACACGACCTCCTTCCATGCATCTGCCTATAATCTATGTCATGCATCCGAATCTGTACATGGCTTTATCAATTTGTCCTTTTGCTTCTTTGCGCCCTTGCTTGCTCCCTTGCTTGCTTGCTTGTGCTTGCTCTCTCTCTCTCTCCCTCCCTCTCTCTCTCCCTCCCTCTCTCGCTCTCTCCCTCCCTCTCTCGCTCTCTCTCCCTCTCTCTCCCTCTCTCGCTCTCTCTGCAGATCTCCCTTCTCCCCATATTGCTACATATGCACATCATACTCCCTGCCATGAATTATAAGTCAGAATAAGTCAAAATGCACCTAGCCGCCCCAGGCGTGTCCGGCAGCGCCAGAAGCGGGACACCATGCGCATTTCCTTCGTGGCAGACGCATAGCTTGTAGGTTGAGGAAAGTCAAGGGGTCTGCTGCGTACCTATAGTACTGATGGTTATTCTAGTTAATAGGGCAACTCAGGTGGTCATCTTTGTATTAGTAATGTTGTACTGTCTTTCGTAAATGGACTCCTTGCCCAAACGGCCGGTACCCCTGCACATGTTTTTTGGTGGCTGGGATGGGTGGTCAGTCTGATTATTACTTGTATACATGGATCCCTACATATAACCCCAGTGTCCAGTTCATTTTCCTTTTTCCATATGACTTTCCATTATCGGGGTAACTAAATCGACCCTAAACCCTAAACCCTAACCCCCTAAACCCTAAACCCTAAACCCATAAGAAAAGCCTAAGCCCCAGTATGAGCAAAGGAAGACGAGCCTGAGGCCGGCGGAGGCTATCGTTGCTCAACTGACACAATTCCCGCACACTATTTATAAATATGAGCTATAGTCTAAACTCCTTAAAGGGGGTTATATAGGGGATTATATAGGGGATTATTATAGGGGTTATTAAGGGGGATACTAGGAGTTTAGACTATGGCTCATATAGGGTCTACGGTTTATATAGGTACATAGTATAAGTACCAGGTTTAGGGTTTCAGGTGGATAGGGTTTAGGGTTAGTAGGGAACAAGGGAATACTTTGTATAGGGACCCTAGCCCTAGGCTTCAAACAGCCAAAAGTAGGTGCTGTTTACAGACGTGCGGGTCCAAAGTCTTATAGGGGGTCAATTTTCAGGATTTGGGAAAAGGAGGCCCTAATGATCACCCCATAAAAATGAAAAATGGAACATTCTCTGTTTTTTTTAGCTAGGTGGCTGCTGAAAACAGTATAGCGGAGGTCATTTTAAGGGAGGTGATAGAAAGAAGTTCTCAAAACATGTCTGTGTACATATGAAGCCCGAAGCCTTGAACGCTAAACCCGGAACCCTAAATCCTGAGATGCTAACTCGAGATCCTTTTTGGGGTCTCCGTCTGTGGGCCGCACGAAACAGGATGCCTTGAAACACGCGAAGCTTCAAACACCGGAAATTACAAACCATGAAGAGTCGAGATTTCATTGTTTTTGCTTTCTATCCCAAACCTGTTCTGTGAAGTATGATAAGACTGGGTTTCTCGTTTGGCCAACGAAGCCAGGGAATTCACGAAGGAGTTTGTTTTCAACAGCACCGACAGCGACCTATGACTTTCCAAGAAACAGTGCTTGCCTTGTACAATCCGATCATCTGCAAAAGTTAGAATTTTTCTTTCGATGAGTTTCAAGCAAGACATCGCTGATTTATTTCTTTTTGATACCTCAAAGCTCATTTCTTGTTGATCACACATAGTGTTCGGTGCCTCATCCCAAGCATGCGTGAGACCTGTGCTCCACGAATGCGCGCTCTCGGGCAATGTGGCATTATTTGGAGGGCGCTGTTCACATGGGGGCTTCAGAATGTCGGTCCAAATAGGAGTTGTTCGCAAAGTTTTTTGAGCGAACCCTCAACCCGAAACCATAAGCCCCAGACATTGAAGACTCTGATCGGTTACGTGCTGGCGAGCACTCCTCCCCCCCCTCGGGGTTTAGGGTTTAGGTATTTCCCACGGCCAATGTGGTGTGGTGTGGTTTGATTGAGGCTTGGTTTGCGAGCACGGATGCAAATTAAACTATGGACGGACAAACTAATAGGAATTGTGATAAGTTTGAGTTTTATAGGGATTTACAGAAATGGTGAAGGGAATCTTGTTTTCTGCGCAGAGATTATTTGAAGGTTGCACCAGGAGCAAGGAGGCGAGGGGGACAGAACGCACAGCGCACAATCGTATATCCCTTGAATATATACTAATACATCCCCCCATAGGGCGTTTTGGACGGGGTGCCATGATGACCATGAGATAAGGAAGAATGCTTTAATGCGCAGTCTTTGCATTGCCTTGGGGTAGCCAAGGCTACCGCGACGTCACGGAAAACATGGAGCCACTTGGCAGATTCGCATTTCGATTCCTGTGCTTCCTGCAGGTCCTGTGCAGAAACAGATTTTGCAACAGAACCGGACACATTTTGCCTTTACTCTCATGTGGCTCAAGCAGCAGCCGTTATTGCGTCTTGCTGACCCAGCCCCGCCCTTGCCGAAAAGCACGCGTGCACGATGTCGATGACTGCGCTTGAGATTCCCAGCTGCATGCTTAGGGACCATGCGCTGAGCCATTGGTCTTCTTTGACTCCTCTGTACTAAGTACGCTTCGTTTCAGGGGCACGGGCAC